CTAGAAGGTAATGTATAGACTGAGTAGGACGGAGCTTGTCAATCAAATGTACTGATTGAAAACAACCATCAGCTAACACTATAGGTGAGTTACACGAATGAGAACTAGAGAATAGGGAAAAAATGCTAGACATATGAGCACTAGTTCCTCACTTAATGATCCAAGGAGACGAAGAGCAACCATACATGCCAAGTTACCTTCAACTGCAAAACTGGCAATAGGGTAGACAAATATGGAGAAATTGAAAGACAACTGTTGGAGGAGTTGACTTAGGTGATAAGGAAGATTATCATGAGAGCCAGACGTAAATGCAACTGGACCATCGGTAGGAGCCTGAAACATTAGAGAGCCTTAAGTATTATTAGGAGCATGATTAGCATATGTTGGTCTCCTCTACGTATATCAACAATAATCATCAGTATGTCATGTGTCACCATAATAAGTATATTTTCACCGAGAACGATTACCATGACCGGAATAACCACGACTACGTCTACTATGGATAATACCTCGACCAAGGATCAAATTTTTGTTTCGTTGCATAGTTTCGGTGAGTTTAAAAATGGAAATGTTTAGATAATATTTCGGAAATAAGATGAAATAAAAAAAAGTTTAAAATTTTATTTTCAAAAACATTGGTCGAAACAACCGAAACATTTTGAAATATAGGTTGAAACAACTCACAACACCTTGAAACACACCGAAACATAGAAATTTTGACAATCAATCAGTGATTCGTTTCGATCTCCATGGAAATGGAAATGGAAACGGGCTAGACGTTTCGAAATGAAATTTAATTCATTAACCTCAACCACCATTCGATTTCATAAAAGTAATTTGTCTAGTTATATAATTCATTGAATGACCTTTGACATCATCCGAAATTGCCATTGAGAAACCTGTAATTAGTTATTGATCAAAGAGGAAGAGAATTGATCTAGAATTCCACAAAAGAAACAGTAATCTTACCCACACATATCATAGAAGTAAAGCAGATTCACAAACACACCTACACAAGCCACAGGACCACAATAAAGCCTATAAGACTCAAACAGTAGTTGTACCAAACACAATTGGTACCCTAATTGCAGCCGATCTGTGCTACGCCAAGATTCACTTACAAACCAACCCAAATAACCTTGGGTCATTCCAAGAAAGCTTCTTGTGGATGAGTTGAAAATTGAAGATTACAATTTGAGAGTGTGAATGTGATCGTTCCCAACACGCTGAAACAGACGTACTTGACCTAGAGGGGGTGAATAGGTTTTAGGCACTCAAACGTGGAATTAATGCCCAATTAAAATCTAATTCTACCAATTATCAATTAATTAACCAATTAACACAAATCCCCCAAATTAACAAAACCCAATTCACCAATTTAAAGATTTAAGCAAAAAAACCTCTAATTCCCTACACCCTTCAATTCTGTTGGTTATGTTCAATTATGTTGGCCAACACCACAAAGCAATTTAGAAGATTATTCAATTAAGTATGTGAGGAAGGTAGGATTGCAAGCAACTACTAGAGTATGAATGAGACAAACACAACCACAATGCAAGCAATTTTATGTGAAAATCCTCTCGGGAGAAACCACGGGAACTAGTCCACCTAACCTAATCCACTAGCTTCACACAAAGATTCTGAGCCCACTTATACCTCAACTAATACTATGGTTAGAAGTTTTCTCTATTGAACCTTCACTCCAAAGTCCACTGCAAGCCTTCGACAACTAGCTTAAATAGGTGACAAATTGAGCTCCACAATGCGCCCTTGGAATCCTCCTTCTTCTTTTCTTAGAATCCTCTTAGTTCGATAGTATTCGGAGAGAGGTCAGAGAATGCAGGCTACGAGAACAAAATCCATCTTAGTCGTGAACAGTGGACTGCTCGAGTGGTTAGTGAGTTTTGACCACTGTTTCAAAACTTCAAACCTAATCAATTTTTCAACAACCGTAGAGCGCGCTTGTAGAGCTCTTAAAGAGCGTTCTACCCACTGGTTTTTCGACCTAAACCAATGCTCTCATTAACCTTTTAAGGACGAATGGTTGATATCTAAAAAGTCTCTATACATGACTCTAATACTCGTTTCAAAACCAATCCTCAAAATTTCAAAAACTTTTTTCATATTTGTACGAGATTCATGCTACATATATTCCTCCTAAACATCTAAATCCATTTTACTTAAGTTTAACCATTCTAAGGCTACTATGTATCTAGGTCTCTTACCTCACATCAACTTGATGGAGTTTAACCATCTAAATCCATTTTACAATCTCGATACTTAAAGAGTTTCGAAATTGTATCTTTCTTTCCTTCATATTCTGCCTGTTATGTACTATTCTTATTTTGATAAACATGCCTTACTATGTTTCAGGGAGTTATTAGTTTCAGTTCGTTTTGACGAACCTGGATGGCAATGGTCAGGGTGCTTCTTGCCAGAACATTTAGGTGATACTCAAGTGAAAATGCGGAATTACATTTCTGGTGCAGTGAGTATGATACGTGTGGAAGTGCAGAATGCTGATGTTTCCATCAGTGATGAAAGGATTATTGGAAACCCCCACGGAAACTCTGGGACGAGCTTAATTCTTTTGTCTGATGATGATACAGGTTTTATGCCTTACAGAATTGATAATTTCTCTAAGGAGGTAGGTATAAGTCTACTTAATGTTTTTACTGTGGTAGTAGTCAAACCTCGAGAGTAGGAATTGTGATGGCATTTACTTATTTTCTCTTCCTTAATGATCTTGCAACTTTAATGGACGAGGATGCTTGTTAATTTATTTCTCATTTCCTGTAGTGAGTTTCTAGCCATTAGCAAGTTTCTGTTGTGCAGTTGGATTTGTAATTTGCATATTGCTCCTGCACTTAGCTTATAAACTGTAGCCTCTTCAATATTGTCCCAAGTCAAGATGGTTTTATTTTTATTTTTTTAAGGTGGGGGGATAGGGGTGTGTTTGCCAAAGCCATGTTGAAGTGGCACTTTGTCTGCTGCTAGCTCTGTCTGATTAACAGAAGCTATATTTTTTTTATTTACTGCCAAAGAGGACATTTTCTTGTTATTTAGTTGAAACCGAGCATCTTAATAGAGATATGTAAAAAGAAAAATGATATCTTCATCATGATAAATAACTTAAAAGGCTCATAGTATGAATTAGCTTTCCATCTTTAAGGAACAAAGACTGCCCCGCCCGAAAAGATTTTGTCCTCTCTCTCACACAAACACACACACCAAGGCACAGCTACTTTAGAGTGTTTCAAATTGTGGCATATTTATATAGAACAAAATTTTAGCTGTCTTTTTTCTAGCATAATGAGTGCTCAATTTGTTACAAAGCAAGGCTTTGAATTTTTTATGTCATACAAGTTGATTCGTTTTTTTATGTTAACTCTGTGTCACATTGCAGAGACTACGAATTTACCAACAACGGTGTGAAAATTTTGAAACTATAATCCACTCTTACACATCTTGCCCTTATGCCTGGGATGAACCCTGTTATGTGCATCGTCTTATTGTTGAGGTATGGCTCCATTTTTAAGTTCTAACTATTGGATAGTTTATGAGCATTTTAATTAATACCCAATTAAGCGTGGTAGGTTGCTGGCGAACGCTTCATAGGGTCATATGCTCTTGATGATGTAAAAGAGCACAGGCATGTATACTTACCTTCAACTTCTGAGGTATGTTTTTTGGTCTTTGATCAAACTACTTCTACATCCCACACATATTGCACAAATGTGTAAATGACTGCACAGCACCGATCCAGCCAAGAGACGGCAGCCATTTTGGAATAAGAATATCTGTTAGACAGCTGATTGATGACATCAATATCCAGTCTGATGTTGATAGATTGTGCTTTTTTAATTGTTTTTTTTTACTACGAGTACATATTTATATACAAACTATAGCTTTTCTTGCTGATTTTTGAAATCTGTTCCCACAGTTTCGGTCAGCCCTATATTAATATCTGGGATTTTGAAGCAGCAAAGATATTCTATTCTATTGCATTTAGTTCATACACTTGCATTGTTGCATTTATTCGTTATGAAAGGAATTTGTTAAAGAAATTGGTGACGCTGCATCAGAAAAAATTACAGGTTTGTGCTACTCGGATGTATGAAGCATTAAATGTTGATGATAGCTAGAACAATTGCAATAACTAGAGATTGAGGTGATCTAACAGATGTTGAGTGTTAATGGATCTCATTTGTTGGTGGACTTGTAAAATTATTGTTTTGTTCATACTGCTGTGGATTTGTAGCTGTGCTCTTAAGCTTGGTTTTGTCATTTATCTGTTAATTGACCTTGCGAGTTTGATTCTGCTATATACCAGTTGAGCTCAAGACTTGGCGCTTTTCTTGCTTTTCTTTTTCAAAAGCCTGAAAGAACTTTGTTTTAATATTTTTCTTGTTGCTTGAGCTTAAGAATTGTGCGTTTCTTTTTTTTTTCCCAGAAACCTGAAAGAACTTTACTTGTTTCTGTCCATGCTGAAGGAGCGACGAAGGTGCATCTCTATTGTTTTGGGATGGATGGCAGATTTTTGCTTCAGTAGCTTTGCTTAGTGGTTTATTTTCTCTGATGCAGGTTCTCAGTATTATTGATTCAAGTTATCATATTTTGAATGATGAGAAGGGTTCACCTGTTCCCCGGTCAAAGGAGAAAAGAAAACATGACCAGAAACAGGAAACTTCTGTTGATTACAGCGAAAGGATATCAGTTAGTCTTCCTTCCATTGGAATCTCCATAGTGAATGCTTACCCACAGGTATATCAGAAAGGAATCCCTTGAGTTTTGTCAATACTCCACGGAAACCTCCTAACGTTTGGATAATAAAAGACCTCAATTGACATTTGTTCTGTTTTAATGATATCAACCAAAAGACCATTTTACCCTCTATTAAACTGGTCAGAGTAAAGCAATAACGAAGGCGATTCGGATTAGGACCCATACCTGTCCAGACCCAGTAAATGAAAAATAGAAACCCTCCCTAGCTAGTCACGGCCACTGCCATACCATCCATGGACCCGGGCCCACCACGCACCACCACCACCTATTGTAACCAATGTTCAAGATAAGAATAACACTGAGACATACTCAAAACCACCACCAGCCACCAAAAAAACGAAGTTTAAACATTTCAAATGTGGCATAAAGAATATGGATGAAAGAGAGGGTATTGTGCTCATCGATAGAAGGGGTAGTTTTAATCCCTGGACCTTAAAACTGAACCACCCTAGATCAACCAACCAGTTGTCACCTATCAGCGGTGCTTCCGCCTTCTTCCTTCTTGACCCCAGATCAGCCACAACCATCCTTCCTCCTCATACGCATTCGCAAACGAACACCCATGCAGCCAACCCCCATCCACCGGCATCACCCAAATAATTCCTCCTCTTAGAGTCGCCTCTGCCCATCTCCTTGGCCACCCGATATCAGCCACCTCCATCAAGAAACACACGGAAACATAAACACATGCACAAAGACATAGATCACACCTCTCTCTATCTCTGTTTTTGTCTCTCTCTCTCTCTCTCGTCACACACATTAAGCAAATCATCTGTTGTGTTTTGTGTTTAAGCTCTCAAAAATTTTGTAGTTGAGTTTGTGAATCAATCCAGATCAGTTAGTGTTGTGGACCTGTGGTAATCTAGTGTCTCTTCAAGATGCTGGTGATAGTGTTTATATTTGGTGTAATGGGTGTGTGTGTGTGGTGATGTAGTGATCGTTGAGAGATAAATGAGGGAAGGGAAGAGAGAGAATGGTTATGTTGTAGGTGCACACAATGTCCAGAAGGGGAGGTAACAAAGGGTGGTTGGATTATGTGCCATTGGAGCTGGGTGGTGGTCATGGCTGTTGTAGTTGGTGGCTGTTGAGGGAAGCAAAAGGGGTTTTGTTTGCCACAGTTGCTGGAGAAGGAGAGTTAGGTTGGTTGGTTTAATCAAATTTGATAGATATTTATCTATTCATTTTAACCAAAATATTTGACCAGATTTAGCCACAATCACATAGGTAATTTTAATGTTGCTATTGTAAATGATGCTAAATTTTAATTAATTATAAAAATTCCATAATTTTTTATTATTTATTGTGGTAAAAGAGAGTTTATTCGTGGAAATATTTGAACTTCTGTCTGATGTCATCATCCATCATTAGGGTCTTCGTCATGGTTTAAAGTATCGGCCGATACTGATACAAGTCGGCTGAGTCGTATCCGTTTCGGCACCTTCGGAGACGATACCGTTATACAATACATATAAAGCCTGAGTCTCGCACAAGTTGGTCGAGTCGTCCAAGTTGTATCTAAGTTAATCCCGAGTTCCCGAAATATCGTCGCCAAATTGACCGATATGGTTCCGCGAAACCGTGATATGTTATAAATTTTTCATCATGTTCAACATTTTCTTCTAAATCATATTGCCTGATGCCGCGTCGCGATGCCGCGACCGATGTGTCTCAGAGCTCTCTGAGTTGATGGCCGATATCACGACCTTGAACCATGGTCTTTGTATTATTGTTCAAATGTGAGGGGGTGTTTGTGTTATTTTGTCACAACTTATGCTATCTTAATCTCTGTGGCTGCCTTGTCTTATGTAGGAGTTGCTTTTTGCCTGTGCAAAGAACACAATGATTGATCTTGTCCAGAGTATGCATCAACAAAAGTTTTCATTCCAAATTTCATCCTTGCAAATTGACAACCAGTTGCACAATACTCCATACCCTGTTATCATGTCCTTCAACCAGGAGCATAAAAGCAGTTCAGTGGGCCTGATGAAAACTAAGGAGAACACCACAAAGATGAAAAGTGAAAGTGTGACACAAATTAGAACTGAGTGTGAACCCGTGCTCTCCTTAGCTGCAGCAATGTGGAGGAATAAAGATGTATCATTGGTGTCGTTTGAATATATAATCCTAAGGTGTCTGTTGTTAAGTCATGTGTGTCCGAAGAATTTAGTTAATACCTTTGGTGTTTGATGTGTTATGTTTAATGCTTGCAGAGTAGCAGATGTTCGCCTTGAACTTGAGCAAGAAGTGATATTGAGCTTGTTTGATTTCTTTAAAACTGTCTCGTCACGGTCTCAGAGCAATTTTTTGTCATATATGGATTCCACTCTACAACCTCTTTTCTCCAAATTGGGTTGTGTAAGGGAGTCGGCTCCATATGCAGTGGATCATGAGTTTGTCAAAGCAAATAGGGATCGTGAAACAAACCCTATGCATTTATCAGTAGGTCCAATTGGTGCCCCTTGGCAGCAAATTTACCTCCTGGCTAGAACACAGAAGAAAATATATGTTGAAATGCTTGATTTGGCCCCCATTAAGTTGACTCTAAGGTTAGTCAGTTCATGTTTCTTTGTGGATGTGCTATTAGTCTATCAAAATTTGACTTTCATTTTTGTTGTTTATTATTTATCAACTAACATACCCGATAAATGTCTTGTTGCAGCTTTTCCAGCGCCCCATGGATGCTTAGACATGGGGTTCTTACATCTGGAGAATCTCATATCCATGTAAGTTGTGAAGCTTTTAGTGATATCAAATTTCAATGTGATATAAGCCAATTTTGGGTTAGTCTTTGGTCTCATTTATTTGTCACCACTTGCGAACAAGGGAACCCAACACCATCCCACAATTCCTTGATATGGCATGAATTTCTATGTCATTTACAATTTTTACTATCAAACATTTCATGTGTACTGCCTAATGCCATTACCCCACATCACTACATATTCGTCTCAATGTCCTCCAAGTTGATGACCTATACTATGGCCCTGAAACATTGTTTTGCATCATGTTCTTGATTTATCATTCTACAATTCTCGATTGATTGAGTCTTGTCAGAAAACAAATGCAACTGGAGTGGTTCCTAGAATCCATAACCCTTTGAAGGCGTAGTGTAGAGTACTTCTATTCCATTTCATATTTATGTATAGAGCTTTGGTGCGTATCATGATTGAAAGTCACGGTATCAACCATCAACTCAGAGGGTACTGATATACATCGGTTATGACGTTACGGCACAGTATCGACTAATACGCTCAAATTGTTAGATAAAAGTCCCAAAAAATTTTGAAAAAATTATGAAAAAATGTGTAAAATGTAGACAACATCATCCATGTATTATATGCTTAAAATACATTATCTAACACATTAAAAATTATGAAAATAGATTACAAAGGCGCTACCGAAAATAATAATCTATGCTACACCAAGAAGAAATAGTCATGTCTAAGTTATTAATTTCTTAAATACATTAGACACAGACTAAATCTAAGACAAATGTGAGATACAAAGGCTAAATCTAAATTTAACTCTAAATCTAATGTAATTTCACATTATTTACATATTCAAAACAATTAAAAATACAATTATATCCAATTATACAATTTTATGCACCGAAAAGTAATAAAAAAATTTACCTGAAAAATAAAAAAGAAAACTCTAGAGAGTAACCAACAAAAATGAAAAAAAAGTGACTTGAGAAAGAGTCTTTTAAGAGAACAAAAAAATTAAGAAAAGCAAAAATATTTATAACTAGCACCGACTTCTATCTTTTAGACTAGTCCTAGTTCGTCTACCACACACAGTTATAGAGAGAGAGAGAGAACGTGAGATACAAAGACGAAGAGAGAACGTGAGATACAGAGACGGAGAGAGAACCTGAGAGACCAATCATCTCTAATGATGCAACTGGATGCTCAAGTCCTCGTCGATCAGTGGGAAGGAAGAAGAGACCTTACAAGAAGAAGGGTGGGATTTTTTGTCTTCGATCATGCAGGTTTGCATTACAATTTCTTTTGATCCTCTTCTTCTGTGTATATACTTGCAAAAGAGGGTGAAGTATTATTTGATTTTTGTGATTTAGGGCTTGAATTAGTTTCTTCTCCCTTTCGTTGGCCTTTTCCATTTTTTAGAGGTTTTGTAGATTTTGCCAACGATCCTCATCAAATTGGTCCAATTCTGGTATAAATTGCCCTAGTCAACCTAATACATCTCTGAGTCAGGTCGATACCACCAAGCTGGGACTAAGACAATGCCGAGTCTAGTGAAAATCGGGATTTTTGCATAACGTGTATCGCTATTGGATTTGTAAGGGCCGAGTCGGATACGACTCGACTTAGTCGTATTAGACTTTGCCGATACTTTAAACCATGGTGCGTATAGTCCTTTCATTCTACGCTAGTAAGCTCATATCCATTACCTTTGAACTGGAGATGTTAGATAGAAGTTGGTATATTGCCAACATGTCAATCAATCTGAGTAGCGTCAAGTTTAAAGAATATTTAATGTTGGCATCTCCAAGAGTAGGACAACTTTCCCAGCCTTAACTTCAAGGTTCTCGCAACATGTTAAGGGTTGGGTTGACTATTCAGTGACATTGTTAGATTGATGTTTTGCAAACAACCTGTTAGGGATGTTTCTGGTTTTTTGAAGTGGTTTTTATGAGCATATGGTATTACATATGTTAGAATATCCAATCTTAAACTGATTGGCAATGGGTGGAGTGAGCACTTAAATATATAAACCAACACTGGGTGATCCTAATTGTTCAATTTGGGATACAAGCTCTCTTTACACCATCTCTCACTTGGGACTTGGACTCGGACTCAAACTTGCACATGGAGCTAACAAACAAACCAACAGTAATGCATACCAAAAAATTCAAATGGGTAAGAGACTTGGCCCACTGACCCCCAAGGCCCAACTCTAATACTATGTTAGAGCATCCAACCCAAAACTAATTCGGAATGAGTGGAGTGACCACTCAAGTATATAAACTAATTTTGGATCCTAATTGTGCATTGTGGCATACAAGCTTTCATTACATGATGTTCCTACAAAATATGCCCACTCATGAGTGCACTCGCAGATGCTCTACCATTCATTCTGCTCTAGCCAAATACACCAAAGAATTTTTGTCAACGCACAATTCTAAAGAAGCTTAGCTTCTTTGTTATTTTCAAATCCTCATTACTTCATCTACAACAAAATTATAAAATGTAAAAGGACAAACCCAAGCCTCACCAGTCATATTGAATTAGCTATTGCACAAATTCCATCGGTAAGAGTAATGAATGAATAAATGAGCATTTGACTCTCTCCTTCTCACATATGCAGAGTAAATATTAGGACTTTAGCTCTATAAGACTTCTTTAATTGTAACAATTCTTCCGGTTGAGGACAACAAACCAAACAAAGGTTTCGACTTTTGACTTTGCCTTTCCAAATGAATTTTTTTGAAGAAAAAGACTGACCAAGCTGAAAGGTTGTGAGATATGAATACAAATATCTCCAGGAGAAGTTACTAGATTCATCTGCAGTCTAAAGTTGACATTAAATTTTCTTAATATTTTTCTTAATGATTGGAGATACACTACTTGCAAGTGAAACTGTTTTCAAGGAGAACAAGGAAAGTAGTGCAATAGGGAACGAAAAAACGTTAGTGTGTTGCAATTTGTTTATGTGATCATTTGTAAGCGCAATTTTGGCGTGAATGATTGTCACATCTTGGACATAGAATGATACTGTTGATGTTGTCATATCAAGTCTACCATTTGAATGTTGTATAACCAACATATGTAAAAAGTATTGAAAATAGTTGGAACTATTATGTTATAGAGCAAAGTTGTTATCATTTTGAAGTCATAAAACTTCTAGTCTATTACTGGTTATTGGTTGTAGGTCTAACTAAGTTTACTGCAGTTGTACTTTAGATACATTCATCAATGTTATTTGCGTGGAATTTTGCCAAATCTAGCTCATAAGTTCAGTCTTTATGATGTGGTATTCTTTTTCTTCCTTTTTCTCCTTTTCATTTTTCCTATATCCTGTGACTTTACTTTTGTTTAGTACATGTTGCTAGCTACACCCTCCTATATATTTTTGCTGTTGGTTCTCATGACTGATCTATTATAGAGAGGTCTTATGGCTCTTGCTGATGTTGAGGGAGCACAAATTCATCTTAAGCATCTGATAATTACACATCAGTTGGCTAGCTGGGAATCCATACAAGAGATCTTCATCAGGCATTACATGTGGCAACTTCTTCACGAGATCTACAAGGTATTTTCTAAGATGATCCTAGATTGTGTTGTGAATTTAGGTTGTTTACTGGTTGGGTGTTCTTTGGTGGTTCTCAACAAATAGGGTTTTGAGGTAGCATGACCAAATAAGTATGGTATTGAATTGAAGGATGCAGTGATGCTGTTACTGGTTTTGTTAGCCATTCATTACCTGCTTTTGATTTCAGAGAACGCATGGCCTGTCAGTAACACCATTAAGCTAACTCAGCATTTCCTGATCATACTCTTTAGCTTTTGATCCCAAAATTTGTTACCATATTCAACCTTCAAAATCTGTACCGTGTATATCTGCATTTATATTGATCCTTAATACACTCATACTTAGAGTGAATCTTAACGGAGATTTCCAGACCAACTATTAATTAGCTATATATGCAATAATGTAACTTCCTTGCACCTATATTTGAATTCACGTTATATCTGAATTTGAGTTGTACCTTCCCTATTTATACTAACTTCTTGTCTAAAGGAACTAATGGTGTGGATTTTTTTTCCCAAAAAGGTATGAAAATAATATCTTACTGGGAGCTGCTGGTTCTGCTCTCAGATATGGTTTTGCACTACTTTTATTTGTGTAAAAAATTTTCCCTTAATAAATCAACACAGACTAGTTTGAAACAGGGAAAAGTTCCATCCCCACTCCCTTTAGATAGACATAAATTTAGGTATACTCCAGTCCCCTTGTATTTTTTGAAATTTCACTGACGCCCCCTATCAGTATTTGTCACTTAACCATGTCAACGGAATGCATTTTCACCTTGACACTCCTAATAATAATAGTTTGTCATTTCTTGGGTGAGACCCCTCTAATCTGAAACTTTGCGGTCACGCCTGAGAGATTTAATCTATAAATGACATTAACGGGAAAATGAAATTATCCATACAATTTTTCTATACATATTATATTTTGTGTGTCATATTTAAACAGTGTAACCTTGCTCTAATCACACATTTGACTGAGGTTTTAAATTCCTGTCAACATAAGCTATTATCAGCACTCCCCCGCTTAATTATTATCAGTTGCCTTCTGAGGGATAAATAGAAGATGAGAGATCAAAGCAAAGATGATCCTATAAACACGTACAGAATAGAATAAACCAAAGGGACACAAAAGTGTAATATAAGATCGAAAGGAGTCCAAGTCTGAACAGTCTGAGAATCTATTAACCGAGCCTTATGGATAACAGAAACTGCATATTTTAATTGGGAAGAAAGATATTGGAACACGAAGCCACTTCTGATGATGTTAGCCCTATCTTCATTTAGCTTAGTAAACTCTTGAGCTTTTCTTATGACTATTGATATTCCGAAAGAAACTTAGGTTTACATGATGGAGTATTTTAGAGGAAAATAATTGAGTGTATCTTACGGACTTTGAAGTGTCTAAGTACTTTAGAAAAATTTTCAACTCATTCAGGATGTTTGGTTTGCTTGCAGGGGTGAAGCCAGAAATGTTTTCCTGGTGGGCATGTTTGTGCGAGATCTTTAAATATGTAGGAACTAGCAATAATCCCGTACCGGAAGTTACGGTGTCAACATGTGTACACTATCGTATATGAACAATGTTCAAAATAAAAATTGTATTGGAACACAAATTAATCAAAAATTAAATAATTTAACTTGTGATAGAAATGAGCAGGAAAAATATGTGGGGATAAAATTCAAATGCTTAGCAGCCTCATTATATTGGTGAATAGTTGATATATGTGGCAAAATAGAAGGGAACTCAGCTTCTTTAGCCTGCAGCTTGTCATATCTATTTCTATTATGCTGATTCAACTTGGAACTTGCTGTTTCTGACATCTAACTTTACTTCTCATGCACTCACAACTCTTAATCTGACCTTTGTGTATTTCCGGCTTAAGGTCTAGACATTGTTTCTCTGAATTTCCTGGTTGTTAATATCTTTTGTGGGGACAATTTTGTGGAGCTCATTTTGCATTAAATTTGACATCATTATAAGGAATTTATGATTTTTTAAAACTGGATGCCATGTTGCTACAATTGTTGCGATTGTTTAATTCTCGACTTGTATTTGATTGGCTCTTCAATTTTTCTTGTGATTATTTATTCTTTAGGTGTTTGGCTCTGCTGGTGTTATAGGCAATCCCATGGGATTTGCAAGGAGTGTGGGCCTTGGCCTTAAAGATTTCTTGGCTGTTCCAGCCAGGAGTGTTTTGAAGGTATGGGGTATTGCTAGGTATCCATTCTTCCATCAGAATTCTGACACCTGGAACTACTTTTGCAGAGTCCTGCTGGACTTATTACAGGCATGGCACAAGGCACCACAAGTCTATTAAGTAACACAATTTATGCCTTAAGTGATGCTGCCACTCAATTCAGCAGAGCCGCACAGAAGGTCTTTCTATGGCTAATGATATAAGAGTTGTTTGATGGGTCATTTTATGTTTGATGATAATACAATATCCAACGTGCAGGGTATTGTTGCATTTACATTTGATGACCATGCTGCTGCTAAAATGGAATATCAACAAAAGGGTACATCCTCAAATAGCAAAGGCGTGATTAATGAAATTTTGGAGGTATACACTCTTTCCCTTGAGGTTGCCAAAATTATAGAAAACTCCTTTAGAGGAAGAAGCTTGCAATTCTCTTTCTTTCTTCGTCCTCTCCCTCTTTTTTCACTACCACCAAAACTCAATTGAAGCCAACCACCAACCAACAACAACTAGCCAACTTCATTGGAAGTCTGGAACTAAACCCATACCCACCCCCAAATCCAATGTAACCACCACCTTCCCCGCAACCATCACCATCGACGGAGACTAGTGTCAACAACCTTATAAACTTTATAAAAGGCGAGAGAAAGATGCTTCTATTTCCAAGGCTCAAGCTTTAAGTTGGCACATGTTGGATGATGAGGAACCTACTTGAGAGCTTGCATAAGCATAATGGAGTCTTCTTCTTAGTTGCTTGTAGTTAGTTTGGTAGTATTAGTGTTTTATGTGATTTTTTTTATATTTTTTAGAGTCGGGGATATTTTTGTAATTTCAAAATTTTTTGGAATGGGTCATAGTCCAACCCTTGGGTCGTCTTTTGGGTCAAATTCTAATGTTGGATGTTCTAAAATTTAGAGTTCTAGTTCTAATTTATTTTAGTTTTCAAATTTTAAGTGATTTAGAGTTCTGGGAATCCTAATCTTTTAGGGTTAGGATACTTTAGAACTTTATATATTTAGTTAGTGGTATTTTTAATCAAGAATAGAGAAAGATATTTTCAAAAAATTGCAGCAATTATATGCTTTTGAGTTGTGTGATGTGTGATGCAATTCTAACCCTAGGAGTGATTCCTAGTTTTCGTTTCTTCTCTTTTTCTTCTATTTTTCTATAATTATAACCCTATTTTCAGATCTAAATTTTTATTCTTTCTATCATTAAAAGTAGTCTATAAAACCCTTCCACTGTTGCAAACAATCCATCAAACCATAACCCATAAAGTTGCACGTTTAATCCCAGATTTACTGTTCACAGCCATAGAATAATACTGATTTTAATTTTCGGGTCCAGTATTGTCCTACATCAACGACCCAATTAATCTACTCAAACTCAACCACCGCCACCACCACAAATTTTGTGTGTGAGTGATGAGTATTGCATTCTTCCAGCGCCACTTCCCCCTCCAGGCTCTTTCTCTCTCTCTCGCTTTTCTGTTACTGTTTGCCATTCTCTTGTTGTTTGTACATCAACTTAACATGTAAATACTCGTCCACATTATCCTAGAAGCAAAATCTGGATCCATCTCCTTGTCAATAAGAAATTCAACAGTGCCTTTCTTTGTTGTTACTCTGTTTATTTCTAGGGACTCACTGGTCTCCTCCAATCACCAATTAAAGGAGCCGAGAAACATGGGCTTCCTGGAGTTCTCTCAGGTATTGGTCTATAAAAATGCCAATATTTATTTCTCTATTGGCAGCTACGGCAAAGTGTAAACCAAACTGCACGGATGTTGGATACTGGTTGCCTGGCTAACTTTCTTCCTCTTGTTTCCCATTCCACTCTTGCAGGTGTAGCCATAGGAGTAACAGGGCTTGTGGCCAGACCCGCAGCCAGTATCCTTGAGGTCACTGGCAAAACTGCACAGAGTATCAGAAACCGAAGCAAGCTACACCAGAAGAGAAACCAGCGCCTTAGGCTTCGTCTCCCTCGACCTCTGAGTAGAGAATTTCCCATGAGGCCTTACTCTTGGGAAGAAGCAGTTGGAACATCGGTTCTTGCAGAGGCTGATGATGGCTTGAAGTTAAAAGATGAGACTTTAGTCATGAGCAAAGCACTTAAACAGGGTGGTAAATATGTTATTCTCACCGAGAAACTAATCTTAGTTGTTTCTTGCGCCAGTTTGGTGAACTTGGGTAGGCCCGAGTTTAGAGGCATTCCTGCTGATCCGGAGTGGGTGATAGAATTAGAGATTGGAATGGGTAGTGTAATCTACGCTGGTATTGAGGAAGAAGTGGTACATATTGTTGGAAGCAATTCAGATACATTGTTGAGGCAAAACCAGCACAAACAAAAAAGAGGGGGTGGAAAACAATCCCCAAACCCACTACCACTTTTTCAAACCATCTTGGAGTTCACATGCAAGGAAGAAGCAGCGGACTTTTTACAAGTACTATTGTCTACAATTGAGAGGGGGAAAGAACAAGGTTGGGAGGGTGTGTATCTTCTGCATCAGAGTCATCTCAAGTAAATTAGAAAGGAGTTCAATTTTTTGTGCAAGTTTGATTTTCAGGAAATTTAGTTATTTTGTTTTTAAGAATTGGTATTAGAACACCTGTGTTTTTTGTGTCAATTAGTATTTAGTCCAGCTCTAATTGGAGATGACAAGCTTATCCGACCTCCTACCTACACCTACCAACCCTGAAAATGTGATCTTATGGGGATAGCAGCTACCAGCTAACCACAATGAGTAATAGGCCCGGGCCAACATTCCTTTTGTGCAAAAATGCCTAGTTGTACATTATGTATATATTATGCATTGTTCTGAACCACACTACGATAAATTCCACTCAATTGAAACCAGTCTTCCTCTCCTCAACACTATAAAGGAATGGCCATGGCCCAATGGAACCTCCAAGTCCCAAACGGTTATGGGAGTCCTTATCAGTGACACTGACCAAGGAAATATTCTGCAAGGAAAAGCTCAAAAAATAACAGCCATAGAACGAAAAAAACGCGAAGAACACTACGATTTTAAGTATATAGAACATACACACTCTGAGTCCACAAAGAAAAGAAAATGAAAATATCTTTAAAAATGTATATTATTCACTAAATAATTTGTGTTACGTAAGGGAATATATATAGAAACGATCAAAATCCTAATTATATCCCCATAATAGAGGCTAAATCTCTAATTATACAAAAATGACCAAATATAAAAATTACAATCTAACTAATTAACATAAAAACACGTGTCGTTTGGAGTCTGGCAAAATTGATTACACTGAATTCGAAATCTTGTATGATTTATCATTAATTTTTGAATTCTTTCTTAAAACGGGCTTTTGAAGGTCTTAACAATGTAATTCAACCAAAACTGAAGGAGCTCATAACAAAGCAATGAGCCTTGATCGTTGACCTGATCCGAATCAATTTTACCTCTACTATCACCTTTTGGCCTTTCGTGTAGCCAAATGAATAATTGATGTATATAAATATGAATGTTTTATTTTAGTTTTATCGATTTAAAAAAAAAACCAAGTGTTCACCTAAGAATTATTTTCTCACTCCTCCCTTTCTGTTGTCCACTTATTTTGCTCTTTTTCTTCTCCACTAGGTGTTTCATTTTCTTATAGTTTAGCTACGTTATAATTATAATGCTCGTAATATTAATACGTTAGAACATTTCATAATTGTGTCGAAAACTTTCCCTTTCATAAATTGTACTGCCTTTTTTTCCTACTTATTAAAGTCTCATATTGGGCTATTTTTTTCCATCCAAAACTTCAATTTTTCTTCCACTGATCAAGTCGTGTGAGTTGGGCTTGGCACGACTTTGAAGCATAGGTAATTTTCCTTGACCACGTCCATGACCAAACTGTAACAAGATATTTTTTCAAGCCCATGAAACACGCATAGCAAAAAATTATATTGTAGATCAGAATCACATATCGTATTAATCGGTTAAAATTGTATTAGAGACTACACACAATATATTGATACGCCACTACATATACATTGTCATGATAATGCCAAACCACGTACGTCAGTTTTCCTTCCTTTGGTCATGTCAATTGTCTTTCACATTCAAGTTGACGACCTCAGGTCGTTGTTGCCATGACTTTCAAGCGTTAGTAATAATTCAAATTGATTTCCATTTTCCATATTCTAGTCCATGATCAAGGTGTGAACACAAGTTATCTGTAGTAAAACACCTTTGGAAGTGTCTGGACCACATTCCAAAAAAAGCCGACTCTTTTTTGGAAGCTATTTTTTTACCCAAAAAAACTGATGAAAAAGCCACCCATTATACCTGGATTCAAAAGGACCAGACTTCTTTTCCTTTGACAAAAAAAAAGTTTTTTTGGAAGCCGGTCAACTATTATGATCTTTAGACTGACCAAATTTTGAAATCAAATTTGATCAATGTAACATTACTCTATGATCTTTTAGTAGAAAAGTCAATGCACAAATTTTTTGGGACTTTAAGGACAACTACTTCTACAATGACAAAAATACCATATTCTCTTTCAATACACAATTCAAAATTAAAAATTTAAAAAATTAAATTCACAATTCAAAAATAAAATAAAATAAAATCTCCTGAATATATATATATATATATATATATATATATATATATATATATATATATATATATATATATATATAGTAATTATCCCTACTTGAAGGTACGAAATAATAAAAAAAAAAATTCAAACAATTCCTAAGACATATCCATATAATTATTGAGGTATACACTTGACTAAAAACTGTAATCATAATTAAGTATTAATTTTTAATTATGATGTGGTGAAGGGTGTGCTCATCTCATAAAAAATAATAAGCATGAACTATTTAGTAAATAATATTAGCAAAATATGTAAAATTCAAATTCAATCAATCTTTTTGTAATAGATATTTTTTTCAATCAATCATTTATGACAATCAACAAATTTTTATAGTTGTAACAAATATGAGAATTAAAAAAAATAATTTTAGTATTACTTACCTAGTAAAAAGTCATAAGGTTTGAGGTGGTGTATATACTTAGGGGTGTTCAAATTTTTGATTACCCGAATTTTCTATTATATCTGACCATATTGATCGGTTTACAAAAAAAATTGGGTAGGAATGCGGTAGAATTTTTGGTCTTTGGAATTAATCGGGTAGCAATGCAAAATACCCATCATATTTTCGTATTCCTACCCTAACCTAGGTCCCATCATATTCTGTATTCCTACCCATCATATTTCTATATTTCTGTATTCCTACCCTATGTTTATATATAAAACAAAAACCCTAAGTCCATAACGCCTCGTCGACTCCTCATCTCACCTATGTCGCCTCCTCATCTCGCCTCTCTCACCACGTATTTTGTATTTCTAAGTATACGTTTGTTATCATAGTATATGATTTCTGATTTTTCTGTTTTGATGTGTTTCATATAGTTTAAACTTAACATAGTTGTTTTCGTAAGGAACTAGTGCTCACCCTTAATATTCTTCCTTATCATTAATGATATATCTATATCTATATCTATCTATACTACTAATAAAAGGAAGTTAAGTAAAAAATTTTGATTGACTATAATATCATTCATAAATAATTTTCTTTCATCATCTCTAATTAATTACATACTCCTCTACTATTCTACTATTATGTCATCTCCTTAAATTAGTTATGTACATATACTTAATATTTCATGTATTCATTTCAACTTTAATTATCGATTTTAACTCTAATGATGTTCATATCATTATGAGTAATAACAAAACAGTACATTACCATCTTTTTGTTTCTTCATATAATGGACTTGACAATTTTTGGTCTTCTAATTCTAACCACATAAATTTATTTGAAGTTTTAATGTTTGTAGGATAAAAATTTTTGTGACTACAAGAAAACTTGAAAATTTTCTTCTAAATTGATTTTTGGGTTTTATGGACATGGAAAGATCAAGAGTTTATGTTATCTACAAAAAACTTTTAATTTTTTTTTGCTCTTTCTTGGGTTTCAAGAATTGCTATAAAAATGTTATCGCTTAATGTATTTGTTTGATGTGAATGTGCCCTCTTTGCATCGTAGAACTCGATTGTTAGGTAATTACATTTGCTCCTATTTATATGTGGGGGCTTGCGATTTTCCCAAAAATAAAAAAAGCTTGTGGTATTGTCCTTATATATTGATGGTTGGACAATTATTTTCAACTTCAACTCTTCATTATTTTTTTTAAACTCTATCTTAGAAATTTTTTTTCAAGGAATTTACAAAAGCATTGAACAACAAGTAGCTAGAGAAGTAAGATTTTGTGACCCTCCATGTATTTGACATAACTACGTTTTAGATAGTCTATCTCTTCATTGGGTGTATATTATCAATATACAAACACTATTTTATTGAGTTTAATACTACTATTCTTATTTAATGCAGGTCAAATTAAGGTATTGGAATTGCAATAATCACAATAATTGATTGGATTTTTGCGTCAGAGGTTTGCTTCTTGAGCTTTATATTGAACAATAAAAAATATGAAAAGACATTAATTTACACTTTTAAAATTTTTCTTTTTTTATTTCCTCAGCAAAGAGCTTGACCAAAACAGTAAAAGACCCGAACTGTGAAGTAAGTGATTGTTCATCTTCAACATGGCATTTGATACCACAATTTATCTATTACACAGACGGTTTGCATGTCCTTGCAGTTACAAAAGATTTCATAACTTACTCCATCATCTTGAATCCCTATCAGTAATCACAGATTCTCTCTCTCTCTCTCTCTCTCTCTTTCTCTCTGGCCTCACTGCCTATCCTGGAGCTACATTTTCTTTGTCATACAATTTCTTGGACGGTGAGGTCAAATCACTGTTGTTTCAACTTCATTTCCTAGCAATGGGTACTACTTAATTGTCGACGGCCAAAACTCGTGTGGTTTACCCTCCACCACATTTGAAACGTACTGCCTTCAACTTCATCTTTGAATAGACCCACCCACAATTTTGGGTCCTTCAAACTCTATCTTGACTCCCTGTAGATGGCTCAAGACTGAAGACCAATTATTTTCCAAATCCCCCCCCCCCCCCCCCCCCCCCCCCCTTTTTTTTATTTCTCATAATAGCATGCAATATATTATATATAGGCCTCTGTGTATATGCATTAGAGCAACAGAATCTATCCTATCTATCCCTAAAAAAAATGAGCCATTCGTTATTTCTACACTTGGTACCTTTGAAAAATATTATTTGTTTTGGGTCAAGCAAAAAAAGATTGAAACTTTTTTCAACCTTTGATCCCCCCACCTCCCCAAAAAAGAAATTAAAATCACAATCTTATTGAGTTTACTTTAATTATTTGCAACGTCGGGATTACTTTTTATAATTTTGGTGCTAAACAAAATATTCATAATGAGATTGTCCACATGCAAAACACGTGTACATCAACTAGTACTTCCAAAAGTTTAAAAGTAATTTTATAATTCCCATCCTATTTTTTTTGTTTTATGCTTATTATTATAGATTCATAATTAAAT